CCTTTTTGACAGACCGCTGTTCTTCCTATGCAGCCCTGAAAGCTGGAGATGCCTTTGATAGTGAGTAAAGTCAAATACGCTTCCAAAAAAGGCAGCTCTTGGAAGATCAGATTGACAGGGCGCTAATGCAGTTCAGTCCCTGTCAGCAGACGTGTCATAAACCATTACCTCTCCCTGCTTATTCACCAAAGAATCCTCCAGCTGAGAGATCAAAGCAGACAGCAGCCAATCAAGACCCACAAAAAACTCCCTAAAAATGCAACGCTTCACCCTGTTCCTACCACAGTTTGCAGCACCCAAAACCTGGGGAAACTGTTCTTTTCCAACTGGGAGCAAAAAGTGACACGTTAGGTTTAAAACAACGGTAAAGCTCCGAGTCCAAAAAAAGGCTGGGAGTCTGGACAGTGCAGGAATCACGAGAGGGGCGAGGGTTTTTGCAAGCGAGGTCTTTTTATTGGACCAACTGCACTGCACTCACAAAGTGGTCTACCGTAACTGTGCGGTTGGTCCAATAAAAGATTGCACCCACAGAAACCCTAGCTTTTTCATTAGAAACATAATTCAGTCCATGAATTCAACATAAAGCGGCACTTAGAAACAGTGACATAACTGGGGGGGGGGCAACTGCCCTGGGCACCAACTTAGTGGGAGAGAGGACAACCGAAAAAAAAGCAGATGTGGCTGGCAGCTGCGTGTTCACAATTGCGAACTGGAAGTTGCCCCTTCCCTTTTACCCTGGGCATCTAGCAGCATCCCTCCACTGCTGCGTAGAAACAATACTGGTTGGTGCACTGCAAATAAAACGTAAGAGAGAGGTCTGAAGAGTTAGCAGTAGCACCTATGAAAAGAGAATTATACAAAGGACATTGCATTTTCACATCGTCGCCTGCTAAGTAGGGAAAATGATACCGACCTGCCTTGAAAAGCACTTTGAGATCTACAGATGAAAACATTACCACGATCACGGTCACCATGCATGCTACCACCACCACCTAGCTCTTGCGTAGTTAGCAACTAATGTAATGACTTAAATCAGAGATGAGACACCACGGCACACTTTACCTGGGGCTTCATTTGAAGACCGTTTGCAAACTAGAGCTAATGCCGCCTATGGCTGTGTGGCTACGAGCTACTTCAGCCCCAGCGAACGCTTTATGTGGCTGCTGCAAGGGCTGAACGGGTTGCAAGTCGCAATATCTATAATTAAAATGAAGGTGCGAATTAGATTAAGCCGCAGTTCATTTCCAGGCTGTCAGAGTGGGTAAGCAAATGTGAAGTGCATTTGTACAAACAGGCTGGTGATAATGATGGTCTCTCGGTTATGGGTTCAAATCCAGCCTGGGTTGGCACCGGCCAAAAAGTTGTTACCGTCCAACAGATATTTGGTGGCTCAAATAAAGGAAGTCCTTGGTCAAAGATTCAGAAAGTCCAGGCAGAGAATGGCTGTTAGATGCCTAGGGATGAATCTCATGGATAAAGGCCTAGACTGCTAAAGGCCCATCACCAACGGTGCCTTTTCCAGCAGTCTCCCAAAGGGGCTGCCTTTCAGATCAAGCATAAGGCATGCTCGTGGGACGGTCTGAAGAAGGTAACACTACTGTTATTTAAAATGTGCCTATCCTGAGGAAAAAGACAATAATTCGCTCACGCTGCTTATGTCTGTGTGTCCAAATGCCTTGTGAACTCGCAAAGACAAACACAATCCCCTGCGTACCCTTTACCGAACATGTGAGATAGTGATTTTGAAAAGAGACCGAACTGCTGTAACATCTGTCTTCACCTCTCAACTTGTAGGCCCCGTTAGGATATGCTCACGTGCCGCAGCTCAATGCAGAGCTTCGGAGACTTGCAGTGGGTGCAAGTCAGTTGGGTGTTTCGTAAAACCTTCCAGAGAGGAGGAACATCACACTAAGGGAGCAAGCAGCATCTAAAGAAATACTAGAGTGAACAGGGAGTTCTGGACTTCCACTGAGAAAGTGTGGGAGTCTGTGATTCACACGGGAATTGGGGGTCTCTCTGTAGCTCTGCCACTGATTCAGTATGCGACCTGCAACACGCTTCAACCTCCCGGTGGGTGCATCGACACGTTCATTAATGTGCCGTAATTAAGGTGCATTAAGTTTAGTACCTGTAATTATAGGTACTAAACTGAATGCGCCATAATCGGCGCTGCGGCGTGTGCTTTTTTGTGATGCTAACGCGCAGCCACTAATTTTACCGCGTATCAGCGTGGGTTTTGTCTGCCGATAGAGTTGGTCTACTGCGCTCGTCGCGTCTCGTGTAGACGAGCCCGGCGTCTCCGTAAAATGAATGCCGCCTGCCCCAAAGGCATAAACGTCTGTAAAACATGGCAATGCTTTGGAGCCGTGGCCTGGTTGCCAAATAGCGTTCGCATGGATACATTAGAACAGGTGCTTCCTCCAAGGTTCGCCCTCGAGAGCAAGAAATGCCATTGATCAGCCTTGATTGTAGTCTAATAGATTTTGATTGCTGCTTCAAGCAGACCTTAAAAGAAGCCTAATTTGTTTACCCTAATAATAATGAAATCCACTTGGTACCAAAGAGTGCAGTAGTCACCCCACCACCGGTTGCCATTTGAATGCCACTCACTGTGACCGTTCTTCTTATTAACACGCAGTAATTTGACAGGATGAAAACAATATGCCGCCGCCACTGATAATGTTTCCTCGGGAAATCCACAAGTGATCCCCAGCAGTGACTTCGCTTAGCATGCGGGATAATCAGTCCAGGCAATAGGGTAATTATCTCAAGCAAATCATTATACTGCAAACAGCTGTGCACTCACAAGTCGGAATGAGACTTTAACTAGATTTTCAGCAATCAGCGCTTTGTTAGAAAACTTTTACGCCGCACGCTGTATGACACGACTGTGATAAATGCAAGCGTGCCTTAAAGGAAAATTCCACTCGGGTATGAGCTGTCCAGCCCCAGGGTTGGAGAGATCAAACCGGTAAGAAACCCTTTTTACTGGGCATGAAGCCATGAAATATGTTTGAAACTGCATTCCTGAGACGGCTGCCGGTAGCAGCTACCTTGCTGAAAAGATCTATCACATCTGACACCGACAGCATGGGAACAGGATATAAGAAGTTGTCAAGCTGTTTGTAGCCTGATTTAATACTGGTTTAAACAATCGCAGCATAAACTTTAATGCTGAATAATTTTGAAACAAATGACTTCATTTTTCATGACTTCTCAGTCAGCGCTAAAAGGAGCGTGATTTACAATGTTTTACATTTCAGGAGAGAATAATGGCTAAAAAAAAATAAAACCTACGTATGAGGCCATATCCACAGTTAAATGCTATATTTATAATGGGCTGCTACAATCTTTAACTTTGCCATTGCCGAATTACAGCATTTGTTTGCAAGGGACGGGATAAGTTAGAACGGCAGAAAACCTTTCACCTATTGAAGGAGGCCTTCGATTCACGTATGCCGAGCTTAGCAGCTCTCCGAGGAGGCGGCTATTCGAAGATGAGCTCTGCAAAGCTGGGGTAAGGGTTTTGGCTCCTGCTGTCTACCACAAAGCTACCATCAGGACCAGTCCCTTTGCTGGCGGTCTCAAACACAGTCCAAAGGAGTTTTAGGCAAGGGTGGTTATACCATCCCCTCAATGCACAGGTGAAATATTTTGGCTCGGCATAAGCAACAATGGCTGAGTGGGGCAAGGTTACTTTGCACGGCAGCTGCTTATCTGCACTCTTTCAGTTGTAAAGGAAAGATTTCAGCCATCCAGACTGTCAATCCAGCAATGACTATAAATTACATTTTAAAAAAAAGAAAAGAAAAATCAATAGATTATTTAAGGGGCCTATTTGGGTTGCTCGGTTCAAAGAGGCAGAAATACTTATCCTCTCTCCCTCAAGTTGTCCTCATATAAAATGACAGCAAACTGTCAGACTAGAGGAGCAAGTGAATGCTGTGAGTAAAAATAATTTCTGTTCAAAATGATTCCTATCCATCATGCGGAGCAAATTATAGGGAACAATTAAGAAATCCCAACCCCATGCATCTATGCCCCCAAACGGACCTTGAAGGCAAAGGCGCCGATGCAGTTTAACAAATTCACAGGCCTATAAAAGAGGCAACCCGCCACCCCCCTTTTCCCCCAAAATACTATTTTGCTAAGCATCTAACATAAATTTGCAAGGTTAATAGCTTCAGTGACCCAGATCCAAAATCGACACACCGGTATATCTAAGAAGCATTATCAGCACCCAATAAGGTTATCTGCCTGAGCAAGATGACTTGGGAGTCTTATCGGTTTTAATTCCCAAAGGAAAAACAAGAAAGGTTCAAGAAAGACCCAGGACAACAATAGGTCGACTTTGCTGTATATCCAGCGAACTCAAGCTGCCAATCCTGAACCAGACCCATTCTACCTTAGACTGCATCTTTTTATTACGGTTTCAATATTCTTTTTTCTGCCCGGGAAGCCAGCACAGCAGCCTTGAAATGTGATTTTCCACCCTGTATTGAAAGGCTTCTCAAAGGATTTCTGCCTGTAGCTAACTGGCCTTATTTCTTCTTTTATTAGGAGCCGCTGAGAGAGTGCTAGCACTGCAGACAGCTACAGGAGGACTCAGTATTGTGCAAAACCTTCACCAGTGTTGAGGGCAACTCATCCCAGCTCCACCAATGCATTCTCATTCTGATCCATAAAATTCCCATTTCGGTCACTGGACTCGATGGCATTCAAGGTCCCCTCCAAGCCTTTGGTTGCATGACCCATTTGTATAGGCGCCATGTGAAGGCTCATAAAGAATAAGGCCTAATGCTAGAGCAGCTCACTGGCAAGAGGCAGAGATGCCTTCGCTACAGGTCTGGCCATGTGAAAAATGGTTTGAGAACAGGGGGCAAGGAGAGGAGCTGGCAAAGAGTCGAGCCACTTGGATGGGACCCTGGTACACTGCTACTTCTCCTACAGAGATAGGTTTATAATGACTGAAACGGGCTGGCAAGCCATGCATTTGTTACCTGCAAGAGAGGCCGCTGTACTCCCAGCATCTTCATGGTGTCCGCGTTGGCCAGTATCTTCAGCGGGTCTGAGGCCTTAGTGACGCCCTCTATCTCTTTGTTGATCTCTGCCAGGACTTGGTTAAGGAAGATGTTCTTGATGTACATGGTGAGGAACTCCCGGAGGGGGCACTGCTTGCTCGGGCTAAGCTCCATGGCATGTTCGATCTCCTGAATGAATCTGAAAGAGAAATAAAAGGGAAATCCTGCTTAGTGTTGCATTATCCCGAACTGGTCCTTCCAGAGCATCATTCGTGAGTCCGTTTCATAAAATCCGGCAGCTACAAGAGCAATGTTAGTCAGGTGGGAGAAAAACCCACAGGCAACAAAAAAAGCGCAGGGGTGGTAGTATACTGCTCGGGGTAGGCAGCACATTAGCAAAGAGGAAAATGGTTAAGATTCAGAGGACAGTGTCAGTGGGACAGCAAGGGTACTAGATGCAGCCAGCACTCCTGCTCTCCTAATTATGCCAGCAACTGCACTCAATACGAGACCGCTGAAAGGGGCCTGATCTGTAGAAAGAACTGAGGATCCACCAAATCTTGAGCTGCCTAGAGGACAGAGCCAGGATTTGGCAAACAGGGGTGCATGTGTCCCCTGCTCCCAGCTTCCTCCCACCACCCACCCAGACCAGTGTGGGCAGAGCAAGCTGTGGGAACTTTTTAAAGTTCCCAAAGCAGGTAAGCACCCCACCTTCCCTCCAGGTAAGCACCCCGCCTTCCCTCCAGGCTCAGAGGCACGTTCCCTCCCTTCCCTGTCTGTCCCCTCCTCCTCCTCCTGGCAGGTTGCCGCTTTCCCTGCTGTCCTGGGGATGGAGAAAGCTTAAAAACCATTCCTGCGCTCTCCAGCCAGGCTGCATGGGGGCTGGGCTCAGCTGTGACAGCCACAGAGGCAGCAGCAATGCAGAGGGGGTCCTGGACCCCACAGAAGCAGGCGCGGGGGGGTCACTGCTGCTGTCAATCCCGGAGTTGGGTCTAGCCCTCGGACAGCTCAGCGGGAGCAGGCAGGAGCAGCTCTGAAGGTCCCCCACCCCTGAGATGGGGAGGAAAGCAGGTGCAGCAGGCAGGGAAGGGGGAACACCTCCACTCAAGAACAGCCAAGTTTTGCCTGAGAAAAGATGGACTAAAAACTTAATAAGGACGCTGGAACAGCTCTCGTAGGGAGCAGCTCTACAGGCTGGGAAATTTGATGCTGTAAGTGTTCTTCCCCGTCTACATTATTTATGACTTCATAAAAAATAAATGGACCTGACGGAAAACACAAAAAGCTATATTAACAGAACATTAAGGATGCAAAATGAAGCTGCCGAAAGTTAGGGAAAGTCAGCAGTCGGCAACCTTAATCTAACCCCCCATGCAGATGCATGGTAGTGCTGTCTATAACTACACGATCGCCTGGGCTATTCCCCCGTCCCGGGAGCCCCGGCCTCGTCCAGTGAACAGGATGGGCAGTGCTATGAAATCAGGGCTGGGCAGTCAGCAACAGCGTTGGAGCCGTTAGACCCGACACAGACATGTGTCGCTCAAGGTAGTGGAGTAACGCACACCAGTGGAAGCCTCTTCTCCTCCCTATGTGGATCAGCACTAGATGGGATGGGAGACTTTCGGTAGCGGGTTTCTGCCAGTGTTTGCCGACAGCAGGCGACCAGCGAGACTCCGGGTGCAGACAAACATAACTGTATTGATATCGAGGGATAAATTGAGCTAGGCTGTGTTGAATTAACTGTTCGGTCTGCGTCATTCTGTAGGGATTCGAGCGTAGCAAAACGAATTCGACTTTAACCCTCCTACATTCGCAGTCAATGTTGGGGTGATTTAGCCAACCACACAGACAGAGCAACTGCATCATAGCTGCAAATTCCTTGGCAGCAGCTCCCCCTCCCTTTTAAAGGAGTTAAAAAGGGGGTTTTATCCACGTCCTTTGGGTGCTTGTGGTCCTCTCCAGGCTCTGGTGGGGAGGTGGACATGAATGGAGACTTTTCTGCCCACTCCTACCCCCACCAGAGTGATCTCTTCTGCATGGTTCTCCTCAACCTCTCTCTTCCCCTGCCCTGGCACTGTCCTAATCCCATTCTCCTCCCCAGCCTATCCCCGTCTTCACTTCTGAGGCTTTTCATAGTTTCATAGTTGGTAGGGTCGGAAGGGACCTAAGCATATCAAGTCCAACCCCACTATGGACCCCAGGATCCTTGCCCAGTAAGTCCCAGTCTCACCCCTTTGAACTCCACTGGCCAAGACGACCAGCCGCCTCCGCCTCCCAGTTTTCTTGCCACTTCTGATCCACTTCTTCCCAAACCTAGGCATCAACCAACCTCTACCTCTGTCCACATACTCTGCGCTCAATGGCTCCCAGACTCGCTCTCTTTCTCCAGGCTCCTCGTATGCCCTCTGCTTTGGAGTCAGGCAGCGGAGCAGGGCCCAGGATGCGAACAAGTGAGAATCTCCAAGGAAAGGTTTCAAGGCCCAAAACAACTTGGAACGACCAAAAGCTCCAGCGTCATCAAAAGTCCTGCTCAGCTCCAGGCTGCAGACACAACCACCCAGAGTTAGCTCCTTAAAACCAAGGCTGTACTGAGCGTGCGAGAACTATGACTTGTGCAAGGCTTTAAACTGGGCCAAATTTAGGCAACTCTCCTGAAGAGGAAAAATCAGACACAGCGGCCCTCTCCACTGCCGCAGTCCGAGTCCTTGATATGCAAGCATGAGGAACTTGAGCTTTTCAAGCCAAAAGGTCACCAGAATTTGTTTTCCCCATTGTGGGAACAACGATGAGTTTCCCCCTAGATGCAATCTTGAAGTGGAAATATGTGGACTAACATTTTCCAAAATAACTCAGCCTGAGGCAGACACCTGGCATGGAAAAATTCAGTCCAGACAGTTCAAGCTCTGCAAAGTCACAAGCAACTGAAAACAGGGTCTTATAATGGGAAATGTTGAAAAACCTTAACAAGCAGTACTAAAACCAGCCCTGCTGCTCTCTCACTCTCTCTCACGCACTCTCTGCTATTTATTTCAATGCCATATACTTATCCCAGTGGTTCTCAATCTTTTTAGACTCAAGGCACCCCTCAGAAAATGCCAGCTCTTAGCTTTCGCTTTTTTTTTTTTTTTTTGACTATGGGAAAATAATAAGAATACTTCTTCTGTTGCAAAAAACTCAGAAAGACCGTAGCAGGGCAGAAAGCTTTGGATGCGATGGGTCCTGGTTGAAATCTCTGGATTTCTGTCTTGTGAAGCATGTACAGGCATCTGCCCAGCGCTAGCCGTGGCACCCTGGTTGAGAATCGCCGACCTATCTGACCTGCTGGCATTTCTCTGATCTCTTCAAGAAGCACAAGTCAATACGTCAAAACCGGTGCTAGAAAAACACGCTCCAAAAAAACTTCCTGCTCTCC